CGGAGAGGATGTGGCTGAGGCTTTGGCGTCGGACGACGTCTGCGCCTCTGGGCAGGACTGCAGCCTCGAGCTCAGCCAGTTGCGCGGCATGAAGGTCCACTACCTGGACGCCTTGATGGACGACACTGAAGAGAACGAGGAAGAGGCTGTGGAGGTGGAAGAGGATGCTGAGATGGAGGGCGGTGGCTGCACCAACTCCCACGACATTGGCGTTTGGAAGCACGGAGGCAGGAGGAGTTTTGATGCCGCCTTGAACAGCTGCGGACGTGGCTGCGCTGCTGGCTTCCCATGCACCAAGGACAGTTGGAAAAGACAAAATTTCATGGGTCAGGCTAGTGAGATACTGTAGGACGAGGAATGAGGTATTCGTTGTTGAAGGCTCATGAAGTCCGCAAGTTGTTTAAGTCTAGGGCAAACTGCGAGGACTGCATGCAGAGGAAGGGCTACAGTGGCGGCTGTGCATCTTGCATGGCTCAGCTGGTAGGCTGCTCCAGGGACCACTGCATGAACCAGTGCATCAGCAACGACAAGAGCCCGGCCTGCACGCACTGCGTCAAGTCCAGCTGCCGACCCAAGATGAAGGCGTGCAGCGGTCTGAACGCCGGTGGCCACTGAGAGGCAGACACGGTAACGCTGTTTGAGCCCCGGTTGCTCTACGCGCACCGGCAGGCAAGAGCCTAAGGCCACCCAATGAGGTTTGTCTTGCGCTCGGATTTTGTCTGCATGTCTGCAACATCATGCGTCCTCGTCTTGCCTTTGTGGGACCCATGAACAATGCAATAGCGGACTCTGCACTGTTGGAAGAAATTGCGCGTGTTCCCAGCTCAGACAATGTCCAGCTGCAAGGGTCTTGAACGAGAAGTGGCTATGTTTGACGGGTGAGGCTATAGAATCTACTGGGCGGTGCGATGACAAACTCGTTGCTGACCGACATCCCAGTTCCAAGCCCTCAACCCTAACCCTAGGGATGAAAAATAGCCCGATGCAGCTAATATCTACAGAGTTTAGGGCCCAATGTTGGTATCATTTGTATCCTTGTGTCACTAGTAAAACCTACATAACACCAGTTTTCATTTCATTTTCCATGTTCTTTTCCATTTGAGTCTCCATGATTACCCTAGATTAAACCCTAAACCCTGAGCCTCCAAGCATCAACCGTGAATGATTTTGCAAGTCCTTCTGCCAGGAAGCTGTTAACTTGGCCTGGACCCTGGCAGGCTGTTGTGTGTTTTTGTTTCTTTTCTTTACATGGGGGTGGGGCTGTTCAAACATGGATGGGTGGGGGGAGGGGGGGGGGGCGGGTGAGTCTTGATGCGTGGGATGGGGGGGATGGGGGGGGGGTCCGGTGTCCCTTTCAACTGTAGTCTTCATTTTAGGTGCACCCCAAAGAGGGACCCTCTCATTTTTTTGGAAATCCCCAACTACTTTGGGGTGGTTTGCAGGGAATAGAGCATCTACTATACAGAATTATAGTCCTGTATTCTTTGCTTACCGCCAGTAAGTCTAGGTGTAAACCCTGAACCCTAAACCCTAAACCCTTGGCATCCTATGGGATGATAAGCAGATTATGCAGGGTCCCTTTTTGGAGGATGAGTAGAGAGTGGTACTTCTGTTGGGGGATTCAGAATTTAGGGTCTGCTAGGGCTTTCCAGGAGTGCATGTATATATGGTGGGTTCCCCCAAAATTAGGTGTACATGTTTTTTTGTTGTTGTTGAGGGGGGTCCCTATAATAAGGAATATAGTATACCGGTGTCTAGATTGGGGTCCCTTATTTTGAGAAACTACCATATGTGAGTGTATGCATGTATGTATGTATGTATGTATGTATGTATGTATGCATGCCGGCCCCTATCGGAAGTGAGTGTATAACGTGTGCATATGCAGGACTATGTATGTATATGTTACCTTCTGAAAGCCAGGCATGTTTAAGGTTTAAGCTGTATTTTCAATCTCCGGTTCGGCGAGGTAAGATTTAGAGCTGAAACTCCTCTTCAAAATCTGGGTCCTACCTAAACCCCAGAAGTATGCAAGATAGTGGCCTTTTGGGCAATCTTTAGGTGTTTTGGGCTATTTTGTTTACCTACGTTTTGGGTTCAAATTGTAGGTGGAAAAACTCAGAATGCAAGGCAGGGCCTCTGGCTTTTTTCTCGGGGGGGAAAGCAGAAAAGAAAATGGAAACTATGATATTACAAGAGAAATATTTTGGTGTTTAGGTGTTTCTTTTTTTGTGTGTGTTTTTTTTTGTGGGTGCAAATCGTGTTATATTGGTGAGTGTATGCATTGGGTCTCTATGTGTAAAGACCACAAATTAAGATTCTACCGCAATATGAGAACATTTCTCAATTCCGGACGCTCCTATCGGGTGAAGAACATTTTGCACCGACCGACTTCTGTCGTAGTAAGGCCCCCAAGAGGACCCTTGTAACTCCCTCCAAATCCCGACATACACCCATCATCCGTCGTAGGGTAGCTTTACTAAACCACCTGCGCGAGGCTGATGTTGTTATCAAAGAGTTTCCCACCTTAAACTGGAACCGTGGGAATTATGGCACTGCGGATGGCGGAAATCTTGCACTACCTCACATACTGTTTCTTTTAGGAATGACTTATAGACCTTACTTCCATCCCCCCGCACTCAAGCCATCTAAAGTCATGGGTTTCAGGTTTAGGGTTTAGGGGCAACAGGGGGAACCTTGCTTGGACTGTTGTTGGATGCTTCCGCGCTGAGGCTAGGTTTCTGACTCGGCGTCCTTCAAACAGGGCATTCTCAAAACTGTGGGTCCTCCGTGGGACTAGTAGCAAGTGGACTCTCGGGGCTTTGGAAGAAAGAGGGAGGACCACAAGTTTCCAGAAGTGCCAAAATCAAATTTTCTCCAAGTTTTCGGAACCAGGAAGATGCATACAGCTTGTATTGTGGCGATTTCGGAGCTTCAATTGTCCAGCTCCTCTCCCCTCTGGACCCTACCCAAAAGTAGATAACATAACGGCTTAAAAACTCAAAAAAGGCTATTATTCTACATACTTTCGGGGTCCTTGTAAACCCCAAACTTTCTGAAAGGGAGGTTTGGGCTTGATTTGGATTTGGTTTCGGAGGCTCAGGAACACACGAGATCAAAGTACGGCGACAGCAGGGCTAAAGTTGGAAGGTTCAGGATTGAGGGTTTAGAATTTAGGTTTTGGTATTGACGGTTCTGTGTGCTTAGAGCTTAGGGTATCCTACCCCGTCCTTCCAGAGGACTTTAGTCTTATGTGGCCTGCAACGTTAGCTTGGAGGAGGGCAGCACCAGCATTCGCTCCAAGGAACAGATCATCCCTCAGACCCCTTCTGATCCTTTCATACCCCTTGGATCCGTACGGCTGCATTTCGAGAAGTCCTAAACCTAAGATATGAGTGATTGGCGTACCGTGTTGGTGAAGTCGAATGACACTTTCAGATTCTTAAACAGGCTCGCAGACGCAAAGGGCTGGATCTAGGTAATAGGAGCAGTAGCCCAACAACGGAGAAGGACATGGAAAAGAAAATGAAAATTCAATGAAGAGTGGGATGAACAGGGTTTTCAGGGTTCAGGGCTAGGATTCTGTATTTTGTTTATTACTTTATTCTACAGTAGACGAAATATACAAGAATATGCCCTAAACCCTAAACCCATATTCTCCCTTCTAGCTCTGGTTATTACTTGGGCTTTCGCCAGCCAGGGCAGAAGAAGATCCAACCCCTAAGCCCTCCAGAGATTAGCTTGGAGGTTCTAGTGACTTAGTAAAGGGTTTAG